GATCCATCTTAAAATTGTTGCAATAAATATCTATATTTTATTTGTTAATTGTAGTGAAAGTGCTCACATGAATGAGATACATTATGGTATACTATGTGGAGCAAGTATCTGAGTTCAAATCCAACTGGACCTGTACTATTTTGTTCTAATGTCAGTACTGGGGTTTGAATTTAGGGCCTTAGACTCTTGTTTGGCTTTTTCTGCTTAAGGCTTGACACTCTACCACTTGAGCCAAATCTCCACTTCCTTGCTACTAGTTTTATTTTGTATTTTGGAGTCATAAACTGTGGGCCTTGTCATAGAAGGAAACTGATGTAGAATCCTTGCTCTGATATTTAATTGTTAGTTACTTTGGACAACTTCAATTTACCTGTTTTCAACATAGGGACATAAAACTACTTGCCTGATTAGGGATTATGGGAGAATGAAAAGAGCTAATGCCAGCCTGATCTGTAGTATTTCTACAATAAGTGGTTGCTGTTATAATTACCTATTTCAAAATATTGATAGGCTTAAAAATAACACCCCTACCTTTTGTTTTATTCTCATATTTTTGCTTGTTTTTAATCTGTATCATGCTTAGCACATTTTCCTTTGAGGATAATTTGAAGAAATATTCACTTTTCAGTAATCAAAGGTAATTTGTGTAATATGCATTTCAAAGGCTGGGGGAGATAGAAATCTTACAAATCCATCAGGTCTCAATGTGTTTTGGAAGATGTGATTTTTAAATATTTGTCTTGTCTTTGTGTTTATTAGAATATATCCAGATGAGTCTGATAATTTTGTCTAAGTGAAAAAAATGAGTTTCAGAAATGTTTTCTGCAACCTGAGGATTGTTGATCAATTTATTATCTATGCTTGAAATTATTTCTGCCCTTCCTGAGTTGCTACTTGGCCTTATCTTTTCTTTGGCAAGAAATATAGTCTGCTCCATTTTACAAAGGGGTTACCTTGGAAGCCAACATTTATTTGATTTCCCAAACATTCTAAACAAACACATTCTAGTTTTGTTGGCTTTTTTTTTTTCTTTAGTTGGAACCTTTGTGTCACCCCCAATTCCCAACTCAGAATGAAAAATACTTTTCAGGAATGAATGAATTATGAATAATGAGTGTAGCTCTTCAACCAACCCCCCCACCCCCCGCCAGAGATTTCTTTCTGACATGTCCACAAGTGCCACTTGAAGAACACAGAATTTGCACATATCTTTATTGCTTATAGTAGGAGGTTAGTGAGGAGAATTCCACATAGTTAAAAGACGAGGGAGAGATAGCTCACTGTTTGTATATTCTGTGGTCCTTCCTATGTGTCCAATAGCATGGACTGATTCAGAGAGTTATAAATGTATTGTACAGTTTAGCAGAGGAATAAAAAAAAGATAGTTATAATAGGATACAATGAGAGTACCTTCCAAAAATCCCTAAAACCATGGTGCAATGATACATGAGAGAATTTAACTTTTTACTTATCCAGTATCTTTAAAGATGCAGCAAAATTTGTTTGGTGGTGGATTACAATAATCCCTTTGTGACTAACCCATTACATAACTTTTAGAATTCTTTCCTGCAGCAGTCAAAGTTAATTATATTTTATTAGGTGAACATTCTACTTCAGAAGTTGCCCCATCTTTCTGCAGTCTTAGCTCTGCCTGTTTGAATGTATAGAAGGGGTCCAGTCCATGCTGCAAAACCTAGTTAGAACTTGGAAAAAATGTTCTCAGGGTATATTTAAATGTTTACTTTTATACTTCTACTTGACTGGCTGGGATGGAGGGACAGAATTGAAATTTTAAATGTAAGTGTTGTGAGACACTGACCTTTGAAGATGTCTCAGGAAAGTGGTTCTGAAATGAACCACAAATGCCATGGAGGAACAAGTGTTAAGCACAGAGAGACTATAATGTACATATATTATGGTAAGAACTCATCTAGCCTAGCAGTACACAAACTCATTTATTTCATGTGCCGTGCCCCCAATCATATCCAAGAAGAACAGAGAGAAGATGTTGGGTAGTTTTGACCACTCTACTAAAGTGGAAAGTAATTCTAAGGTGAGTCCTCCTCCCAGAGCAAATAGGCCCCTTTAAAATGCCGAGAGGAGGGAACAGCAATTTTCTAGCAGCTTTGAAAATACTTTGCAGTGGCTGAGAAGCATAGAAATTTGCTTGGCTTTATTTGTGGAGGTCATGCCACCCTGGATAAAAAGGAAGACAGTTTAGCAGTGGAAAATTTGTTTGTAAGGTTACTCTCCCCTCATATAAGAGAGACAGAATAATCAAGTCTCATTTGTACTTTTCACTGGCTCATAATTTCAAGCAGGAGACAATGTTGAAGCTACAGCTTCTTGAGTGAGCCAGTTGACTGATGTATGCCTCATGTGTATGATCAGTTATTTCAGAAATATAAGAAAAGTAAAATCCAGCCAGTTTGTGTGGTGTTAGGGAATCCTCATGAGTTTCACAGGAGATGAGGCTCACAGTAGTGGGAAGAGGTAAAGCTGTGATAAGAGTTCCTCATTTGTTAGATCATTGAGTGTAAAGTTATATAATTTGGCCTTGCCCTTGTCTCCTGCAGTTGCCAAAACCTCCTACGTTTAGCTGTAAAGAGTTCTGGGACTGCCAAAGCTACTTCCTATAGGTCACCCAAATTTAACTTTTATAGTAGTGCAGAGAATCTGGGAGGAGTGAAAGGGGGTGGGGAGAAGTAGTTAGGAATAAATGAGATAAATAGCAATGATTGTTTCATTCAACTTATCCTGGGATTCTATCCATTCTATTCGAAGTGGCAAGCACTGTCTCTGCACATTGGCCTGATGACTTTCTTAATTCTTGCCAAATAGCACTGGGGATTTTCTCAATTATTTGAAGTGCAGTTGGTGACCAGTCTTGTCCTCTCAACTATTCTTCTCCTACTCCTATTATTTTGCATGTAACGGACAGAGGTAGATTTCTTTCCCAAAATTAGCTCGGAAATTCGATTTGGATCACTCCAAGAGAATGAAAAAGTATCATTCGCCTGAAGAATTCCCTCCACTCTTCAACGGAGCTGCTGCTTAAGCAAGTACTGCAATGTTTTAGATAGTGTAGACTTGGTCCCTGGGTAAAACGGCTGATTGCACAAAAGCAGCCATGAATTGTTATCAGCTTGTCACTGAATATCTGGCATATGTGTGCATTATCAACTACAATTGTTCTCCTAAAATTAAATAAAAGCACGTGTTTATTTTTGTGGGGCTCCAATTAGGGGACAGCTGGTGCTCCTATTACACTTGCATTAAATTGAAACTTGTAATTTAGCCATCCAGATGCACACTTCATTAATCAAAACATACATCGCGTTTGCGTTGTTCGTTTTCCATTCAGAAGTATCTGGAACCTTACCTCGGGGCTCCTTGTACTCACAAACGGCGGGGTGAATAATGAGAAGTATTTCCACTGACCAGTATTTTCCTCTCTGAAGTTGTTAGAGAGAAGGAAATAAGGCATTGGGGGACACTTACGGGAGGGAAAGGATGCAGGAAGGCAGCTGGTGAGTACTTACTGGTTTAAGTTACATTAAGTTGATCGTTATTGACTATTTGGGAAAGATCGATTGCACCTCACCTGTCTGTGAAGTGTCTTCAGACTTTCAGCCTTTGAGCCAGGCTGCCTCGCTCATTGGCCCTTCAGTTCCAGAAGCTTTCGAAACTTTGCGCCCTCGCTTCCTCCCCTCTCCCCATCCCCGGATGTGTACGCACTGCGCTCGTTTTCGCTTTTGTATAACCTGATCGTTATGATTCATCCCTGTTCTCTTAATAGTGTAATGACAAAAGGGCATTCATAGCGGGGACTGGGTCGTTGTGTTTAGGGGGAGCTTTGGTGCAACACACACACAACACACACACACACACACACACACACACACACACACACTCCATGAGAATACAGCCCGCCGCGTTGTACTCTTCCAAACCATGCACGAATGAACGAATCACACAAAGACTATAAATTCACCACGAATCAGCGCCCTGCAGGACGAAAGTGCCCGCACTTGGAGCTCGATCAGGAGCTCGACTTTTTGGCGCTCTTTGGGAGCAGGCAGAGGGGAGGTGGAGGACGAAGTCTTTGGGTAGGTTCGGGGATCTGAGTTATTCCGATCATCCCCCTCCCCCCTCCCCCCAACTAAGTCGGAGCTGAGAACTACGTTCTGAGGCTGGTGAGGTGTGGTGGCGGCGTTAGGGAGTGTATTGCGCTACCTGGCCAGGCGGGGCGGGTCAGGATGATCGTGGGCGGGTGCGGGAGCTTCTTCAAAGTCAGGCGTTTGCCGCTGCCCGCGCCGCACACGTCCCCACACTGGCTGGCAGACTTTCGCGGGACTTGCTAGGTTTTGGCGCCTTCACGCCCCTCTCTAGCGCGCGCCCTGAGTGTCAAGCGCGGGGCATGGAGGGACCCAGCTGCCCGGGTGGGCGGACTCTGGCGGTGGCAGGACAGTGGTGGTGGTGGTGTAGGGGGGGGTGCATCTGGTGATGGGTCTCGGGCGGGGTTGAGGGTACGCCTTTAGTTAGGGCCGGGCAGGGTTGGGGCCGGAGTTGCCATGACAATCACTAGCCTGGGCGGGAGCCCCACACCCGCCCTCAGCGAGAGAGCTGGGGCGCTCTGAGGTGTGCTCCAAGTGGACTGAACCAAGAGGACGGGGGGGGGGGAGGGCTAACTCGCCTCCCCGTCCCCTCCCCCAGGCCACAGCATGCCCTAGCCACCGGGGGCCCCTTGGATGGGGGGGGGTTTACGGAGGGGAGAAGAAAATATTCTTTCCTTTCATTCTGATAGGACGCTTACAACCAAAAAAAAAAAAAAAGGCACAGGGGTGACCCAAGGGTGAGGATAGTACAGGGATTTTTCTCACCTCCATTCAGGAGTCCCAGTGTGTGTTGTTTCCAGACTTGACATTTTCCACCCCGTGGGCGGTGGGACTTGGAGTCCCGGTAGCAAGTCCCAGCCCTAAACTTGTGGAGGTGGGGCGGGCTTTAATTTGCTTATATCTAATGATTGCAGGAACCTCGCTTTAAAATGGCGGCATTCCGGGTACACCCCTGCTAAAGGCGCTCCCGCCACCGGGGCCACCTCGCCACAGCGCTGTTCTTGCTTCTACCGCTAACAGATGGCATGTGCCACTGCTGCCCCTGCCGCTGCCGCTGCCCCTGCCGCTGTCGCTGAGAGCTGGGCGCCTTAAGCCTCCGGCTTTGCGCTGAGCAGCTTAAGGTAAGGCTGGAGATGAGTTTGGGGTTCTGAGACGCTGCACACATGCAATGCGTTCGGAACTTTATTTTCTTACAAAATGGCAAAGAGAAAACTGATCCTGCAACTTGTTGCGATTTCTTCTCCCCCCCCCCCCCCAGCCTTGACCTTCCTCCTTCTCCGCCTTCTCCTCCTTCTCTTTCCTACCTTCTTTCTTCTTTTCTTTTTTGCTTTTTTTTTTGTAGGGCTTCGTTTTCAATTTAAGAGAACTTGCATGGCGTGTCATGCGCAAATGCTTTCAATAATTCATTTTCCATTTCCATAAGATAGCGTGAGCATGGACCACAGCTCCCGCTGCAGAACTGCGTCTCTTCCCGCCCTGGGTCTACACATTCGGGCCGCTTGCTTTTACCCCTCTGACTGAAAGGTGTTAGAATAGTAGATTTTACAAAAGTATGAAAACGAAACTTTTGTTAACACTTACACAATAGCCTTTTTTTTTTTTTAAGGAATAGGGAAGAACATGAAATTAAACGCAAACTAGTAATGAAAGTTGGCATTTATGTGATTCATCTATGTAGTTTTTTTTTTCGTGAACGAGTATGGCAGACCTACTGTGTGTTTTTCTGGATATTGTCTATTGATTGCTATATAGACATAGGATACACAAATTTATGGATGGTCTAATGAAAGTAATATGTTGTAAAAGACTTCTTTTCTCCCGGATGTTCTTAAATTACTGTTTGTAAGTTGCTAAATTGCTTGGATCCTCACAGCCTCTCCATATGGACTGCACAAGAAAACATCAATTAAGCCTAGGGCAAGATTTAATGTTTGAAATGATTGTTAATTTTTCACTATACTGGCTCTCCATACAATTAACAAATCCATCAGTGATTACTGATATAATAGTTGCAAAGTAGATTGTGGCTATAAACATACATATGAGTAGACTTCAGTGCTTACAACAGTTCATCACAGCTCTCACACTCCCCTATGAAAGGCATGTTGACAATGAGACTTGCTACAGACTATGCATCTTCATGATTATGTTCACATGGCCTCTTTGGCCAAAGGAAATTTGCCCCTTTAATGTTTAAATACTAGAGTAATTACAATTTTGGATTTTTTTACATTTCAATGAGTTTCACAATGATATTTTCATAGATGTATATAAAATACTTTCAACATATTGATCCCCTCAACTGGCTCTTCAGTTGAGCCAGTTCAGACCAGCGTTCACTGGTCTTCTTTTATTCCTAAATAATTCCTTTTCTACTTTCAAGTCTTTAAAATTTTTTTGAACTTGAAATAGTTATAAGAAAGGCTCCAAACAGCCTAAATAGATTTCTACTATGGCTCCAATACTGTTCTACCACTGTCCACTTGTTACTTCTTCCAATGTACTACAAGCTTCCTGGCTGGCTGATATAACTAGGAACAACTTTAGTAGGTGTCTAGAAGCAGCTGGAGGGGTTTTGTTTGTACCTACTGGGGTACAGTGAAGTTTGTCTGCCTAAGAACTGTAGTCTACCTATAAACAAAGAACTCAGCTGCATTATACAGGAAAGTACTGCGTAGTAATATCACATCACCTTTTCAGGTGCTTATTCAAAGAAGCAAGTGGCAATTGATGCAGGGAGAATTGCCTGGAAATTCCTACAATTAGAGCAATAGATACATTTTTTGCAAAAGGAGAAGGACAGAAAGCAACTTCTCCCACTTTTTAGTAGTTATATTGTTTGACACTACTTCTGTATACTTTGTGGTTCAGTCTGCTGTTTTGCTGCTGAATGACTTGGGACAACTCTCTCTCTCTCTCTCTCTTTTTTTTTTTTTACTGAAAATAATAAATCTTGAGACCAGAGTAGACAATGCTAAACTGCTGTCACTGACTAGGAGAAAATGTTCACAACGCACTGTTGCTTCATATAGGGAAATACATGTAACTATGAATGAGAGGCTGTCAGAAATAAATATTTTGAGAATTAACACTGCTAAACTACAAGTGGTGACTATATATTTTGTTCTACTCCTAAGAGATAGTTCATTTCTATGATTTCCTTTACTGTTTATTGTGTGTGTGTGTGTGTGTGTGTGTGTGTGCACGTGCATATGCACGTTTATGTATGTGTGCTAGTACAAGGGTTTAAACCCAAGTCTTTGGTGCCATCTCTTAGTGTTTTCACTCAAGGCTGGCACTCTACCACTTGAAGAACACCCTTTTTTGTTGGTTAATTGGAAATAAGAGTCTTAAGGACTTTTCTGCCTGAGCTGTCTTTGAACTATGATCCTCAGATCTCACCCTGCCTGGCTTCTTTGGTGCTTTAAAGACTCCTAATGACTCCCACAACTATTATAAAGTAGCTTTCCCCCCCTAACTGTCTACTCTAGGCATTTCACAAGAGCTAGTAGCCAAAATAGCTTTGGTATTCCCTCGTACCATCTCATGCCTAAATAATGTTTTATACAAAGTGCGTGTGTAATAAATGTTGAATTAAAAAAGAAAAAATGGATAGCTGATAAACTCACAGGAGAGTCAATTTCATGAACAAGTTTTCATTTCAGTAGAAGATGTGTCCATGCACTTGCAAGAACCTAAACATGTAGATTAGAATGTGCATTCTCCTGATTGCCTGCACTTTACCAGCCTTAAATGGGTTCTCTCACTATTTTTCAGGCACTTGTCTAAGTTATCCTTTTAACCAGTAGGTGGATTATTATCTGTTCAGAAATAAAAAAGTAAAACACAGCTTGGAAATAAAAAAAAAGTTTTGTCGGCCAGGTACTGGTGGCTCATGCCTGTAATCCTAGCTACTCAAGAGGCTGAGAGCTGAGGATCACAGTTCAAAACCAGCCAGGGCAGGAAAGTCAGCAAGACTCTTCTCTCTAATAAACTATTCAGAAAAGCTGAAAGTGGTACTGTGACTCAAGTGGTAGAGCACTGGCCTTGAGCAAAGAAGCTCAGGAACAGAGCTTAGGCCCAGAGTTCAAGCCCCCAGGACTGGCAAAGAAAGAAAGAAAGAAAGAAAGAAAGAAAGAAAGAAAGAAAGAAAGAAAGAAAGAAAGGAAGGAAGGAAGGAAGGAAGGAAGGAAGGAAGGAAGGAAGGAAGGAAGGAAGGAAGGAAGGAAGGAAAAAAAGAAAGATTTTGTCTTTTTGAGTGGCTGTATTCTTGCTGGAACAGTGACAGTCTCTCGGCTGTTGTGCAGATGTTGACAATATTGTTTGAAGTACAATTCTATTTGGTTTTCCTCTCAGCTGTCTTTATGTGTGAGGGCAGAGGAGGAGGGATGGGAAGACAGGAGAAGCTCCAGACTGATAACGTTTTACATTCATAAAATTTTACACTCACCTTGCTCATAGTACAATAAGTTTGGGAAGGTGGCAAAATTTCTCTCTTTTGAAATAAATTGTATTCGTTGATAGGGCTGCAAACAGGGATTGGGTCAGAGCAGACCAGAATAAGTTATAGTACATGCTTACCAAGTAATTTGGTCCTTTAATTAAAGTAACATAATGGCCACTGCCATGTTTAAAAGATCAAGTGGCTGAGCAAGATGTAAACCACACTCACCTTTACTTTTACCAAGGCACTTCTGTGCTGCTGAGTTTTCTCTTTTGTTGTTGTTATTATTGATTTGTTTGAGACAGAGTCTTTCTTGCTTTGAAGCCTAAGCTACATGCAGATTGGTGATCCCTCTTCCTTTGCCTCCCAGACTGCTGGGATTACAGGGATGTGACACTGTGTCCAACTGTTGAGTTTTCCTATAACAATGTCTACTAAATTGAAAAGATGGATTTTTACCATTATAAATGTATGCAATGTCAAGAAAATAGTGATGAGAAATGATGTGTCTCTATGAGAATTTTTTGGCCTCTGTCAAGTATGGCAGAGGTCTGTTCCTTGAAAAACCCAGAAAGAAACCTGGGCTTCACATAAAATGAGGTGGATATATTCCTTCTAAGAGAATAATAAAGCAGGTAGTTTAATTGTCAACAAAAAATATATAAATTATGACCTGGAAAAAAGCCATTTGACCTATATTAATGTCAGCTTTTAGATCTAAAGGTAACTTACCAGTGATGTAGCATCTTGCTCTTTTGCATGATTGCATATTGTCTCGAGGTAGCCAAGACAAAGTTGGAAATGCAACTGTAAAGATGAGGATAAATGAGGTATCAATTACTTTATCAGCTGGTGATGACATTCACATGACCTGAAGGGATGAGAAAATATTTTTTAGGCTATTGTGGTAAAGGCACAGTGTAAATCCATCATTTTGTTCTACTTGGTATGAATTCCAGTAACAGTGTTTTAAAAAGATTGATGGGTCAAATAACACAGGAAGCAGACCTTTCTATTTATTTCAGAAATAAAGGGACTCTCACATTGTTTAGGAATATAGACACAAACACATACATGTACATGAGTTCACAATTTGATGGTTAATTTAGACTAATTTTGATAGCCATCAATTGATTTTTCTCTGGAAAAATAAAAATATGCCTATTTTTTTTTTTTGTACAGCATTTCTCTAATTCTGAGAATAAAGAAAGTGGACCGAAAAAACAACAACCCTATAATACATATTATCTCTCTGATGCTCAGGAAAAGAGCTGACGTTCTTAACGCTTCAGGAAAAGGATGCATTGTTTAGAATTCAAGAGGAAGCATGAATGAAGGGAGGCTGGATTTAAATCTCTGTATGGTGGGGGTTATCTAGATTACATGTTCATCTGTGGTGTATGGATCCATATGGTTAATATAAGTATATACATATTCCATATATATATACATATATATATATATATATATATATATATATATATAGTAGTTTGCAAGAATCATAGCAATCCTAGAACTCCTTAATTTTTTTTGAGACAAGACCTTGCTATGTTGCCTAAGATGGTCTTGAACTCCTGGGCTCATCCTACTGCCTGAGACCACTAAATAGCTGGGACTACAGGGACATACTATCATACTCATTTTCCCAGAACTCTATTTAACAACCATGAAAAGAAA